CCCGGGTGTCGTGGCATCGGCTCACCGCAGCCCTCGGCCTGAGCGTTTTCCATGTCTTTTCCTTTTTATCCATTAAGTCTTCTTTTGAAGTCCTCGCTTGAAGGGACCCATTTGAAGGGACCCAAGCCCCGGATGCGAGTAACGATTTCTTAGCGTTCCCTCGGTTCAAGCTTTAATTAACTTAACCCGCAGCTTCTCACACTCGGTGCCGCCCAGATGTTTAACTCTTAACTTAAACGTCCATAAACTTAAATCACCACGGATGTGGTAAGTCGCGCGAAGAGGCAGCAACAAAGCCCGCGGCACGAGGCGCAGCTGCCGTTTTCCTCCAGCGCAAACACTGCTCTGTTAGTGCTATTTCATATCCCTAACAACCGCTACTGTCACAAACAGCGGCTTTCTCTTGCGTCACAGAGGAATAAGCAAGCAAACCGTGCTGGAGTAATTAGAACGAAGCGGCTGATGCCCAGTCCTGGATATTCTTGTCTCCGCGGCTTCCCAGCGACAGAGCAGTGACCTTGCGCAGGCTCGGTCCTGGCTCTGATGGCAAACCGAGGCACGGCTTTGGCTTCTGCTCTTTGAACTTGAAAATAAGGTGTTTTTTCTTGTTGTACTTTCTTGTGCTTTTGGCACAGCTCTCAACGGTACCGTACTAAAACCCTTGTGGGAGCATCTCATCTCCTGTTCCTTCCGCAAGATGCTGCAGAGCCTAAAAGCTAGTTAGTAGGAAACGGAGGGAATGGGATCCCGGAGCAGCCAACAGTGGTAGCTTTTGCTCCACGCTTCCTACTAGGTGAACCAACTTGCTTTCCTTTAGATGAGTAACACATTTTGTCAGTAAGAATACAAGCATGAATTTAGAAAAAACTTAAATTTCAAGGGACTGCCACAAGTGGTGAATTAAGTACATGTTTTTCTTATTGAAACAAGTGTTATACATACACAAAACCAATGTGTAACGGCCAGGAGTAACTCCATTCCTGGAAGAATCTTCTGTGGACGACGGAGGACAATGTTAGCTAAATTATTTGATTAATTTGTTTAAAAACAAAGCCCTGAAGACATTTTAGATGTTTCCTTTAGTTAATGAGATTTCCATGATAGTTAAAAAAGTGAAATTAGAAAATAATGCCATTAATCTTGGATTACATGCAGCACGATGGAAGAATTAGTAGCATAAAGCGAGAAGATTAAGACACTTTGCTTTCCAAAAAAAGTAGCTGTGATAGAAGCTACACGGTGTATTTTCCTGTCCGCGATTAACAAAGAGGTGGTCGGGATGTGTCCCTAACCCGGTGTATTTGGGCACGGCTCTACCTTCTCCTTCTGATGTGGCAGAGTCTAGTTCTGAGAAAGTAATTATGGGCTGAGCGAAGGGATGACAAAGACCTTACGTCCTAGTAGGCGGTAGGAAACAGCATGGACAACTGTAGGTATTTGATCACCTCCTGCAGTCAAATAGCTGATTAGAAATAAACTTTTCTCAGGTATAAGTATTCACTTAACCCATATACTAAATATGACATACATTTGAACTATCAAAAAATGACTGTCATCGCTTCACATGTAAAATGTTAAATTATTTTCCATTAAAAGTCTCACATTAAACCACAGTTAACTTCATATACCCTGTATTTGGCTGTTTTAATAAATAACAGTATGAAACGGGGATAAAAAGGCATCCCAAAATAGGATTATATGTAGCGATAAAAGGGGAAAAAACCTCCGAAGAAATGATGTAAGAACAAATTCTAACTGCATTAAACAGTAACAAGTCATGGTTTCAATCACCGGCCAGGCAAGAGTTTGCTAATCTCACGCGTACGGCATATAAATCTGCGAGTATGACAAATTGCATTTTAATTTACGTACTGAAAAGGTGAACTTCTCATACCCTCTGCTCATTTCAGAAATCAGGGAAAACGTGTTCGCTCAAAGTGCACACCGAGACTAATAAAGTAACCAGCTTCACCAAGGTAGATCGCGCATAAACCCGCGGCATCTCGCCGAGCTGTACGACGTTTCACAAGTACTTGGCTTTTCACAACACGACTTAGCAAACCCCTTTTGCTCAGTTACTGAGGCGCTGCCTGTACCAACACCACCGACACGGGGATTGCCAAGCGGCATTTTCGGCGGGCGGCAGGAGCGTAAGCCACCTGGACGGGTATATCCTCCCACGGCACGTTGTGCCGCTAACACCTAATCCACCATCTCGCAGTCAAGTCATCACTTGACAGGAGCCATTTCTAGCAAGAAGACAGAATTGGGTTTCTCAGGTAAGTTACCGCCGCAACAGAAGCTGGAATTAAATTTCCATATACAGCAGCAGGGATGAGGTTGCTCCCCACCGCTCCAAAACCACCCCAACCCCGTTTCAGGGGGTTCTATCAGTGGTACATGACGTCCTGTAAAAGTTCATTGAGGAAAATGCTTCATTTTTAGTGTGCGCTTCTGGCAGCAATTTAGATATGATCAATTGTATTCATTAGTTTCTTTTATTATTTAAAAATAAATGTGTTATTTATTAATTTTTATTATTCAAAACCAAAATTTAAATTGTATCCCTGTAACAGTTACCTGAAATCAAAGGGAAGGAACTTCATGATAAGCTCACAAACGTATAAAACGCTCATATTGACTTTTTTTAAAAAACAGCCCTTTGTTCACAAATTTATTGAAGAGTGAATCATTATACATATATCCAATGAAATATTAACGAGAAGTTTATTCTTTGAGATAATGTTATTAAAGTTTTCTTCAAACACAACACAGTATTGCAAAAAATCTGCAATTGCAAGGTACAGTCGGTTCAGCTTCTTATTTTTTTCCTCTGTGGTACTTACCTAAACCAGAAGCTTGCAAAGAAAATGCATGTTGTACAAAAGCATTATATGGGGTATATGATGACATACAGTAATTATAACCCATGGAACACACAGGTATTGATGTATGAATGCTTTAACTCTTAAAAAGAAAACCCATAGTGATACTCTGCAATGAGCTGTACGTGAGGCTCCCATCAACTTACACCAGGATTCTGCTTTTGCATCAATAATGGATCCTCTGCACTGTAGTTACTTAATTACAGGATGCTTTTTCTTCTATGCGTACAAAATTGAGGACAAAGAAAAAAGGCCAAATCTTATCATCCAACACAAGTGGACTGAGCAGTCTGTAAGTCCAGGTTGGGTTCAAGGCACAGGGTTAATCTCATCCCTTGTTTTTAAACCAGGCACGCTACCGTTAACCAGATGTACGCATTCATCTAAAAACAAGTCAGTCATCCCATGATATGCACTGTATCATGATGTCAAATAAATACTTCTACAGCACCTATTGCTGTGACTCCATATCATACTTTGGGGAGAAACAGCTAAAATCAAGAAAAAAACCTGTATCTATCCTGAAACAACACAGTAAATATTAAATATTTTATTATTAGCATGTCATTTGCAAATTATTGACAAAATAAATAATAAAAAAAAAAGTACTAAATTTGGTCCCTAAGCAACTGCAATCTTAACTGTTTGCCAAGGTCATCCAAGAGCAAAATCCAGTGCAAACAGGAGCCGAATCCAGCCCAACACTAGGCAGTCTCCTCGTTCACCAGCAGTGGTTCCACTTCCAGTGCTACTAAACCAGATTGTCTTTCCTTGGGCTGACGATACAGGATGAACTGCAGAGTCACCTGTTATTTTTGGGTAAGGAAGTAACTAACTCGGATATAGAGGTAGCCTTTGCAGTACTTGCTTTCAATTAAAACCAAAATAAGCCGTACAGAATAAAAGCAGCCATCCATTTCGTTCTGGCACAGACTCTGAATACCACAGTCCACAGAGGAAAGCTTAAAACTTGCTGTATCTAATTCATGTACTGTAGTGTAAGTATTATCCATTTATTTAATCCCGACTGTGGAATTTTCTGCATTAGCATATAACCTTTTCCAAACCCTATTTAACGCTCATTTTCAGTACTTCTTCACGGCAAAAAGTTTAATCATATTTTACTTGCAACACTAGAAAAGGGAACATACAGAAAAATTCTAACTCAAAACTTCAGATCCCCTTGGTTATATGGCTCAAATACACATGAAAATAGCCTTTACTACCTCATCGTCCTGCTTGCAAAGGGTCCTAAGTGTGAAATTCGTTAGTAGCAGAATAGGAACACGCTTCATCTAGGAACAACGTGGAATGAAACATATGGACCTGTAGCATTCCAGCCCTGGCGGTCTACATACTGAGGGCTGGGCTGAGGGGGGATGCTGGTAAGGAGGGGAAGTTATTCCAAACTTTTCTCAGCGGTAGATCGGCAGGGCTAGATCAGAAAACAAAATTCTCATTTCCTGCAAAATTCTAGGCGGTTTGATATTCACAGGCACCAATATGCAGATGCTATGACTCAATATTTAATGCTGTTTTCAACACAGAATTGTGCAATTAGACATAATTATTTATTTCTATTGTAAAAGAGACCGTTGGAAGCACTGCTAATCTAAAAAGAATCAACAAGTATGTGCTTGTCCTTTTTCTTGATGGTTCCAGCTCTCAAACAAAATTATTGACTTTGAGCATAGATAGCCTTTAAACAAACAAAAAAACCAAACAGGGGTGTGCATCTAGAATGGACAGGAGAGATTTCCTACGCTTTAGAATTTTTGCTAGATAATTGAGTTTTGTACTGGCGTACTGAACTTGATAGAAAACTCCTTGTTTTCTTATAGAGACACCATTTTAAGATACCAAGAAATGGTACAAAGCTATCTAGCTATTCCCTTCCCTTTAGTATTCTTTTCTGTCCCATTCTAAGAAATACGCGTAGCATCTTGCAGAATAAAGATTTCCTAGTCACAGTAAATGGACGCGGAAATGACGTGAAGTGCAAAGCAGCGGGTACCAGAAGCCTGTCTTCACAAAGGCAAACCACCTCACCACCAGCCAGCAAGGCGGCAATACTCTCTGTAGGGCAGGGTTTAGGTCTTCTACCCTTTTTGCTCACTGTGGACACTTCTTTTGTTCTTTTTCTAAAAGATGGAGTGATTTCAGCAGCAGGCTATGCTGAACCCAGCATTACTTGCTATCCAACTTTGACGAAGAAAGTTTTGAGAAGGACATTAGCTGGGTGGAAGCAGGTGCAGTAGATGAGGTCAAGGAGAGAGCCTCCAACGTCAGGATCGGCATGAAAGCATGTTTAAAGGAAGGCGGTGTAGAAACAAGTGGTGATCTGTGTACCCGGGTACCTTGTACAAAGTCCAATGTATGCTCATAGATGTTCAGCTTTCGTAGAGCCTGGATTACCACTACTGTTCCATGTAAAATCTCATTGTAAAAACGAAACAGTTTCTCTAGGAGGAAATCTGACATACAGAATTCTACTAGTTAAAATAACTTGGCTGGTAGACAATGGTTGTGAGAACTTTGAGGCTAATGTATGTAATTTATGAAAATTTATGAAAATACAGAGAGGAAAAAAAAAGCAGCTTTCTGGGAGGCCTGGATGAATAGAGAGGAAATTCTCTACATCCTAGGCAGAGCCCCAAGAATTATCCCACCTTCTCAAAGCTTTCCAGCATCCCACCTCTGAGGCCACCCAAACTAAAGACTAGACAGGATTTCCTTCAGAGACAGCAGGTCAGCACTCCTTTTTTAGTCTTTCTATAGTATTATGTGGGAATGCTTTCTTCTTAGAGCTTAGCAAATTAGTTTTATAGCCTATATAGGTACCACTTAAATTTCCTGCCTTTTTCTTTTTTATAGGCCTTACTGTACTTACAGCTGAGCAGCCCCCAAGCCTTAATAGTCGCACTCCTGGAAAAAGACACTGTGAATTGGGAATCAAATTTGCTGCAATCACACTGTGGGCTTGGGGCAAGCCTGGGCTGTAGCACTGTGCATTATCACCCTTAGCCACCAAGTTAGCAACAGCAACAGAGCTTTTGAAGAGAAATAAATTAGAAACACAAGTTATGTGGAGTTTATCAAACAGTATTTCCAGAATATGTTTTTGTATCATATGTACTCAGCTGCTCATATTTTAAAAATAAACGCTAAACTGCCAAGACTACTTAATACAGAAACTAACTTGCTGCTCAAGTCTGACTTTCTGGGGGAAACTTTTAAGACGTACGCAGGCAGCAGACAACCCAAAGTGGAAGAGAAAACCTAACTGACTTCTCAGAGTAAAGTTCATGACAGCCACTGAGCTAGTATATCAAATTCGCATCATTCAACTAAAAAATTCAATGACGATTCAAAACACAGAACAGTTTTGAGACAAAAGCAGGTATTTACAGGAGTGCAGAGAAGAAGGTGTTTGTTTGGCTGGGAAACTCTCCTGGCTGAATTGTCAGGTCAGACTTACATTCTTTGCACAGTGTAATTAAATTACAAAGCGTGATGTTTTGTAGAAGTATATAAAGGATTCCAAGTGGTTGCCCTGCAAATCACAAAGGGTGTAAGAGAAGAGTCTGTATACAACAGCTTGGCTCTTGCTGAATATACTGTGGCTATCTAGTAACAACCTGGCTACACTTAATGAAAAGAAGTACATGTGGAGGATTTGAACACAGTTCTCTGACAATAGGGTGATGTCAAATTAAGAAAAAAAAAAAAGGCAAAAATCTTGGTAAAGGGCTTTGTCTGAACTAAATACAAAGCAGGGTTGTTTGGTTTTGGTAGGAGCAGGGGAGGAAGGAAGCAGGGTGAAAGAGGGTAGCAGACTTACAGAAAAGGACAAAGTTTTCTGGAAAAAACTTGCACTAGATTCAGAAACTTAGAAACCATCTTAAAAACTCAGTGATGGCTACTGCTAAAGGTCTAAGGGCAGAACTGGTCATCAACTGATTTTAAAATATGTAGTATTGCATCCTTGTGTACAAGTGAAACATGAAGTAATCATGCACACAAAATAAAGCTCTGATAAGGTCCACTGTGGAACCCTACAGTAGGCAAATCTGGACTTAGCGCCGCTGACTGAGAAGGCACCCTCTTCAGGCCCATTTAAACCTTGGGCTTTGTGGTTTCTCTAGAAACTTCAACCGTCTTCCACTGCAAAGCAGCAGTTGGAAGGAAACATTTACTGGAAAAGAAAATCGTGTCCAATTTATAATTCAAATGTGTAATGCTATGAAACTCTCCTTAACATGAAAAGGAGGACAATTCATACTTTACAAACGATTGTACACTGCCATTATTTATTGAAAATAACGGGCTTATTGTGCAACCAAATAACTTTAACTGTAGACACCAAGGAAACAGCATGACCGTGTTATCCTGTTAAACCGAGCTGAAACAACTCCACTGTAATCCTGCACTAAGTAAGGCTGGAGCTGCTGTTCTAGCTATGATCAGGAGTCCATTTGTTTCTAAAAACAGTCAATGCCAGCCATGTCAGATGGAAGCAAAAGAATACTGCAGCAGACACAGAGTAAGTGAACTCTTAATCCTTGCTTAGACCTTGAGAAATGAGAGTTTATCTTCCACCTAATGAAACTCTGGATGCTATCAGGAATAAAGTCTACTGGAATGAGGAAATTTCTGCAACTACTCCTCTAAACAGAGTCTGTTACACAAATGATCAATTGTGAAACACCTCCCTCTTAGAAATTAGGACTTTTTGGGTTAATTCCTCTGTTTTCCAAGACCCAGGTGATCCTGTTCTTCATTTTCTGGTCTAACATGACCTATCAGTTTGTTAGATTTTTTATTTTCTTGCTTGGCAAGAGACAGTAATGAAGCTCTCTTTAAAAGCATCGACTTCCATACCTTCAGGGCTTCTCAAAGCAGGAGGTCTGCTTTTGTTTTCTCTTGATTACAAATACTTCATACATTTTCAACTAACACTATATACATGACTAGATTCCTATAAGCTCCTCAACCTGATTTGGAAGCATCTGTTTTCAATATAATTTGAACTAGAGGACTATTAGCAAGATTGGATTCAGACTCCAATCAAGACAGAACCCAGAAATGAATGTCATGTGCACACTGGCACTGCAATCCTGGGGCAGGACTCGGAGAGGGGGGAGGTTTGTGGCCAATATAAAAGTTCCTTTTCAGAGTACATCATAGAAAGGCATCTGCAAATATGCACATAACGTACTGTAAGGGTCATCAAGATCAAATTCTAGGGGTTTGTTGGGTAAATAAATACTGGACAGTTCATGTTTCCAGCTGAGGCGCTGGGGGTAGAAGAAAGAGCCACTACTTTGTTCATGGAACAAAAGGCCCGAGCGCTTAAACGAGCCACATGGGCTAGCAACCCTGAACCCCTACAGCCTGCTCATGTGAAAGAAACTGCATTGTCTCATAAAAGATAAAACTACAATTTATTTCAAAATGGGCCATGAACCACAGTTTAGTCTCACCACTGCCATGGAGTGTTGTGTTCCCACGATGCAGAATGTTTTACTCAACTTCCCACTTAAATCGCCATGGCTGGAGATGCAAAAAACCACAGATGGCTCTGCTGAATGACAGTATAATTTAACAGTCCATCCAAAGGCCAGGGTCGGCTGTCCCATCGCGAGTCTAATTGGAGTGGCTCATGAAATTACTTTAATCAGAAAGACAAGACTGATGCCTGGGAGTCATAACTTCTGGAACTGTTCCAGGTAAATCTGGTAAAGAACTTCCTTTTAATATGGAATGGATTAACACAATATGCTTCAGCATGGTCCTGAAATCACTCTTCATTTTATTCTGTTTTATAGTTTGGGATCATGGAGCTAAGTACCAAGATGTTTTCAAACACAAACCTAAAATTCTTACTTCAGGAAAAATCAGGAAATCTCCTCTTTATACTCTTTTAAGTGAAAATACCAGCTATCTTAACAAGATGGGTGACTATAAACCTATAATGAAGAGTAAGACCAAGTACCACCACATTACTGTTAGCTAGGCTTTTAAAGCAAAAGTACAATACTACTTTAAACATTTGGCTTTTAATTTCTTGATCACAAAATGCTAATGCTCAATCTAGAAAGAGCACAAGTAACAGTAACTAATATACTGTGGGCATTTTATGTATGTCCCCTCAATATAAGAATAAAAAATCAGAGTGTTTTAAATTTGTTCAGGACTTTCAAGAAACTGGCATACTAGTCTAGGTAACTGAGTAGTTGGTTAGCCCTTAGCGTGACTCGATGAGCAGAGATGCTGGTTTTCAGAGGCACTGAGTGTTTCAGTGCATCTGATTGCACCCTGAATTATGCAGCTAAAGGTAGCTGCAGCATTTCTTTGTTAAGTGCTATATTCTGAAACTGTTTGCCAAAACCTCATCGTTTGTCTCTGATGTTAATGCAATCTTGCAATAACACTTACAATTTAACCAAATTCTCAAAGCTCTAATTCTATATTTGCATTCAAAACAAGCAGGTTTGGGGTTTGGTTTGGTGGGGTTTTTGGTTTGGTGTGTCGTCCCCCCGCCATTTATCAGACAGCAAACCTAAGAAAAACAACACAATGTGCAATCCTCCCCCCCCTTAGTATACTACATATTGGCTACAAGATATAAATTAACCTGTGTAATGTAACTTTAATGTAGATATTTTCTATAAACTTGTTATTCTTATCAAGAAATACTATTTTAAAAAGTTTACAGATTGTTGTTCAGAAAGAAGATTTTATGATCAGGTTAGAATCATAGAAAAGAATTCTATTAAAAAAAAATCCACTTAATTTCTGATCTACCTATTAACAAGCCTATCCTGAGAAATTCTAGCTATAACAGGAAAAGGATACAAAAATGTCTAGAAACAAAACTCCAAAGCTCCCAATGAGCCATGGAAGATGGTGTAAAAAATAGAGGCCCCGGAAAGATTCGGTAGCTGGCATCTTTAAAACAAGGCTCAGTCCATATGTACAGTTTCCCACCATGGCTAATGCAAACAGCAAGTAAGAGGTGCCTTCTGTTGATCGTCTTCGGAACTAAATACAAAGAAGTTTTTATAAATACAAAGAAATGTTAAAACATGTATCACAGTAGCTAGTTATACACAACTTTGGCATTTTGTACTATAACACATCCAAAGACTTTCAGTCATTCTTGCCCATCTCTTCCTGGGCTCTAAACCCTCTGAGCTTAGTACTTTCAGCACACATCACTGAAAACTGCAGAAATCGTTACAGTTTTTAGAAGCAGCTACAGTTAATGTAATTTTTATGTAAGTGCAAAGCAGGAAGGATAATCTGCTTCCAAACGGTATTTAGTTCTTATGAAATCTGTTGCTCTATTAGTCTGTTTAGTAGACCTTTTTGAAAACATTGTGGTATTCCAACTGTGAAGGAAAAGGTAGAAGGGGAGTATGAATAGGCTTGGAAATGAACTAATCATTTCCATAATCAATTAAAATGCCTGCATACAATTGACAATGTAAAACCTTCAGGTCTTTTGCTGTGTTTGGTTTGGTTTTTTTTTTTAAATATACTGATAGTGAAGAGGCTGTCGGGGAGAAAAAAAGTCAGTAATGGCATCTTTATGAAAAGAGGCTGAAAGTCTAAACTAATTTTCCTCTAATTCTAACTTTTGATCCCATGGTTGATTATTCAAGGTAGAATAGTTTGGAGAAAGAAAAGGGGAGAAATCACTCGCTCATGACAACAATCACACAAAGTATGTTTCTGCTCATATCTGATAAATCCAACTGTAAACACTTCCTCTCCCCCAGCCAATTAATCCTCTTCCATCAATCAAAGACCATAATTTTCCTAAAATTCTCACCATCCTCCTCTGAATGGAGAAAAAAACCCATTCTTTACCATTTTAGACAGTCAGAAAAGCAAAGTAGGCTTTCAAGTTCAAGAGGACTCACTGTTAGGGAGAATCCAACATGTAAAGCAACAGAGAGTATTTTGTAAAATATACAAGTATACTTAGTCAAAAACCTACTTACATTTTTATACAGCTGAGGAAATCTACTTCCCAAGTAAAACACACAGGATATATAGCCACAAACGAAGCCTGACACTTCAATCATATCAAGAGAGTTCTGAAAAAGAAAGGTACATACATTTTGGCAAGAACAATTTCAGGCATTTCAGAGGATTAAACTGAGAGTCCACTGGCTGATTTTCTGGACAGAACTCCTTTCAAAGCAGTTCAGTGCTGCTCTTCAATTGGCTAAAAAGGGCTAAAAAGGGTTTAATCTTTAGATTGATGCAATGCACACTGCTGCGTCACAGCCATGACTGAGATCAAAACTAGTGCCGGGCTTTAGGACGCGATACTAATGTCAATCCAGTCCTCCTGCTAATAAAGCCTGGGCACAATAATTCAAACCAAAACTAAGAACTGTAGCTAGGGCCACTAAAAAAATGAATCATCCTGTCTGGAGAAAGCAAAACACTCATTTCTCACAGTTTAAGAGTTGTTAGTTTTCTCATCCTAGCTGTGTTTTGAAAATAAGCTGCTTCCCTGCTGGGCAATGTTGCTGGATTACAATTCTCTCACTGGCTTTAGTATGAAGGCCATAAAATGGCTAAAAAAAAGTCCCCAC